CGAGTTTTCCTACACCTGGAAAATCAAGTACTTTCTGGATATTTGTGCTTTGAATCTGCGATTTTACCGATCTGGACAGCCATCTCTTGCAATTATCACAATTAGGTCATCTGAATCTCCTCCTCACAATGTTTTTTTTTTACAAGCTTCTGTCATTGTGCGCATGAGGAATTCTGCGCCGAATAAATTCAATGTATAAACGTTCAAGCGCACATATAGACTCCAGTGCTCAATTGTACGTTGCCGGTTAATTTTGCTTGCTGTTGGGGGGGGGGGGACCTGCAAGAACAAGGGAGTACGGCGAGTCCCAGTGGGAGCAGTAATTCGGCCATGTGTATATGCACAAAGCCATTTTAAAACAAACAAACAAGCCATGCCACCCAAGCGGTAGCGTGGTTATTTGAACAGTGCCCGGAGCCTCGTTGTGCGATGCAAGTGGTTCAGGGAGGGATGTGTGGTCATCCCAACCTGGAAAAAAAAATCCCGGTCAAATCTATAGCAGGAACAAATCACAGCAAGCTTGCCATGTGACCACACCCGTAAACACATTTTTTAAAAAAGCAGTCAAAGCTGGATTGGGGCCAATGGGTCTAGTTAGAAGGTATAATTGCTATGCTTTCATATTCTGATATTCTGCTATTCATATAATTTGTATTCATATTTTCTTGAACAAAATTCATTACCACAGTAATCTTGGGATTTGATTCTAAATTAATTTATTATACCTTTTTATAAGAGTAAAAAAATATGTTAAAATCTATTCTGCAAGTGTGTTAATTTCGGAGTAACTTCGCAGAACCAAGATGGAAGAAACTCCATTTCTCTGTATTGTGAGGTCATTTGAGATCTTACACCACCTCTCCACCTTTGGTGTAGTGGTTAAGTGTGTGGACTCTAATCTGGGTGAACAGGGTTTGATTCCCCACTCCTCCACTTGCAGCTGCTGGATGACCTTGGGCAACCCATAGTTCTGTCAGTTGTTCTTGAAAGAGCAGTTCTCAAAAGAGTTCTCTCTCAGCCCCACCTACCTCACAGGGTATCTGTTGTGGTAAGGGGAAGGGAAAGGGGAAGGGAAAGTAAGCCACTGTGAATCTCCAAGTGAAGGGCAAGGTATAAATCCAATCTTCTCCTCCTCCGCCACCGCTGCCGCCACCACCACTCTTTTTGTAGCAGGAACTCCTTTGCATATTAGGTGACATACCCCTAATGTAACCTCTTGGGGGATTGGCTACATTAGGGGTGTGTCACCTAATATGCAAAGGAGTTCTTGCTACAAAAAGAGCCCTGATTCTACTATTACTGGAGACAACTGTCCCACTGACATTTTCCCTTGGTGTAAACCTAGGCTTGCCAAGTCCCCCCAGGGGGCAGGGAAACCCCCACCCCAAGAGGCCCGTTTCCCGCAGGCGGCGGATCGGGTCCCGGGGGGAACCCCACCCCCAAAGTAAGTGACGTGCATGTCACCTGGAAGTGACGCGGGCACGCTGGGGGCGGGGCCACGACCATCCGAAGGAAAACTCTATGGTTTTCCCTCGGATGGTCGTGGCCCCGCCAGCAGCATGCCCGGCATGGTCGCATCACTTCCGGGTGACGTGGTTACGGTGCGCATGCACGCGTGCACTCCAGGAGCGAGCCAGGAGTCCCCCACTTGCGACAGGTAGGACTCGGGGAGGGGCGGGTGGCGTGGGACCTCCGGAAGCCTCCGTGCCACCTTTCCCCACCCGGCCACCACTGCCAAGGCAGCCTTCAACCATCTACAGCTGATTAGGCAGCTGGTTCCCTTCCTCGAACGCAATGACCTGGCAACAGTAATCCATGCTATGGTCACCTCAAGATTGGACTACTGCAATGCTCTCTACATGGGGCTGCCCTTGTCCCAAATCCAGAAGCTGCAGCTAGTGCAAAATGCGGCAGCCAGGCTGTTTATGGGTCTCTCTACATGAGATCACATCCGGCCTGTGCTGAAGGCACTGTACTGGCTGCCAATAGCATACCGGATTCGCTTCAAGGTGCTGGCTTTGACCTTTAAAGCCCTATATGGTCGGGGGCCTGCCTACCTGAGGGGCCGCCTTTCCCCATATGTCCCTCAGAGAGCACTGAGGTCAGGGTTGCAAAATCGCCTGACTCTCCCCGGTCCGAAAGACACTAGATTGGCCATCACCAGGGCTAGGGCCTTCTCAGTGGTGGCTCCACACTGGTGGAATGAGCTCTCGGAAGACATCAGGGCCCTGCGGGACCTCTTACAGTTCTGCAGGGCCTGTAAAATGGAGCCGCCACTGACGAATAAGCTATCAAAAACTGAACATCTTCACACACACACCCTTTCTTTGGACAGAGAAGGGAGAGTGCTATTGACCTTTCCCCCTGCATCAAAGCTATTTGCCTCTTCCAGCGTATATTTTCCCCTGAATGGCAACTTATGGGGGGCAGGTTACTTGGGCACAACAGCAGAGTGCAGGTTTCCTCACCAGAACACTGCAGACCAGCTCTGAAACGCTATTTTTTATATGAGCCACCATTTTGTAACTAGATCAGCCCACCAAGTTGTCATTTTGTGACTGGCTCCACCTCCTGAGCCACCATTTTGTGACTGATAATTTTTTCTAACTGCCTTGGAAGGTAAGTAGCTCCAAGACACAAAGTCTGTCCTCACCTGCTCTAGAAGTTTCAGAGAATAACTTTACCAGGTGTTTCTCTTCCCATCACAGCCAGACATGGGTAGGAAACTTACTCCTGACAGTACTTTCCTTCTTTGCAAAAATACAGGTGCCACTCAGCTTATGGACTAAGCAAGCCTTTGTTCTTTGACACCATGACCCCACAACAGAGTGGCTTCCCTTCCCTGTCCATTTCTACCATACTATCAGTTCACAGCCATATGTGAGGTTTAGCCCCAGATCTCCTTGGCTTTCAGCTCTAAGTCTTTGACCACCAATTGTTCACTTAGCTCTCAAGACTTTATGTACATTACTTTTGCCTGATGCCTCTCACTTCTGTTAGATAACTCAGCCTCTCAAGCAACTACTTGCCTAGAAGATATAAGTGGAGGGAAGGGCTTCACACTTGCCAATTTGTGTGTCCTGCTGCTAGTAATGAGAAGATGAAAATCGTTGTCTCTTCTTTGAACTTATTTGTTAGTCACCTTGAAGAGCTATCAGCAGGGTATAAATCCTGAGAAATAAATAAGCAGGACGTTAGAAAAGTCAAAGACTCCAGTTTCTGCCAAACTCTACCAAGTTTCCATACCCGTTGGATTTCCATAGGTTCTGCCTTAGCTCCTACAACCCTGCTGGACAATACTGTTTAAAATTGACAGCTGGCAACTGTTTTATCACTCAAGCTTCCTTTTCAATGCAGACAAACTCAGGAGATTTGACTCCAAGGGTTGTTTTTCTACAAAAATGTATATACTCATAAATAGTCAAGTACAAAATAATGATTGGTGTATGACTTTTTTAAAAGCCTCACCTCACTTCAACTTATGAGTAGGGACTCAATAAACACCTCCATGCATTTAAATGAAACAAAGCTTGAAATACAAGAATGCATCATTCATATTTGATATACAGTGTATTTTGTGTGCAGAACTGGACACAAATTATAGCAAAGGTGTGCTGTAACACATACCAGCGGCTACAACTTTTTATTTAATGATAGCTGCTTCAGAATCATGAAAAATATCCTGAGCTACTCCCCTCAACACAACTTGTTTCCAAGTTTTGGTCTATCCTAGAAACAGAACATGGACTAAGAAGAGTACCAGAAATGAAACCAACAGCTAAGCAGCAGAGAGAAAAATTCTACAAAATAAAAGCTTTTTCTTAAAAGCCTAGAGAACCTCTGAAAACATATTCTTGGGTCTTCCATGTGCTGCACAAGCTATCCCACAGCAGCTAATAAGCTATTGGTAGCTTCATTTTCCCCCTTGTCCTACATGACCGTCTGCTTGGATAACCCCTTTATAGGCTGATCAGTCCTTGCAGCACGCTTTGCCCAGCCTTTCTGTACATCAAGAAACTACCTGTTTTATCACTGGTATGAGGGCATCTAAAACACTCAAAGTGTTGTTATTTTGGGTTGTTTTTATTACTGGTGTGGTACTTGCCACATATTTTAACAGTTTAATGTTTTATATTTGTAATCTATTTTTACGTTGCTTTTAACTTATATGGTTTTAATGCAAGTCATTGTGAGACCTTTTGGGTGAGGAGTGACTAAAAAATCTAATAAAATAAACAAACAAACAGAGGCTCATCTATGGGAGGCTATTTAGGTCTGGTTACACTGACACATGGTACGGCAAGAGACACAGTGAATCCCTACATCAAAGGCTATCAGATTACTAACACTGACATAATATGTGGTTCTAATCCAAGTCCTGGGCACTGATTTGCTCTTTTTCTTTTGATGGAAGTCTGAGCAGCTCTAACCCACCTCACAAACAGGATTCAGGATTTCCCTCTTGCAACCGCAGGGTGGCAGCAAAGATACAAGCTGGTGCAGTCACCAGAAGATTCAGGTCCCAGTTACTGCAGGTATTCCAGCCAATTAAAAGTTACAGGATTTGTTGATTGTGAGTGGATGCATCTTAAAATACCTTGTTTAAGATGCGTATGAAACCCCGTCATCCATGGATTTCCCACTGCTGGCTCCACCTGACATATATTGAAGTAAAAGGGATATAGCCTTTGTTCAATAGCAGGCTGGTTAGTGATCCACTGACATCCACCCAGGGCCAACCTCAGGGGATACAGCTCCCCCTAAAGTGAAAAGGAGCCTATGCCCCCTCCCAAGATTTTACCCGATAACAAAATCTGATGGATTCCCTCCTCATCCACAGTCTTCACGTTTTGTCTCATTGCATCCCACAACCATTTCCAGAAGCTGTACAAATGCATGCTGAAGACTGAATTGCATACGCAGAACTTTTCAAAATAAACACATTTTATACACACACACAGTTTGAACAATTATGTCAACACTGGTCATATTAGTGAGGACTGTACATTTGCTTTAATAGCTGAAAACCTTTACACTGAACTGTAGAAACAGCTGGGTCGTGAAACATTTTCCTTTTAAAACATCTTTAAAAAAAACCAATCCAAGGAGAACGGGGGAAATGCAAAAAAAGTTACTTTCAGACCCAAGGATGAGCTTGAAATTCACAACGAAAAGAACGACACTGACAGAAGTATCTCCTTTAAAAAAAAAATGAGAGCAAGGAGTGACATACAGCAGGGAAGCCCCTACCAAAAAACCCCCAACAAAGGCCTACAGAGTCCCCGTATATGCGAGCAATTCAGACAGGAACTACAGGCAGGAAGCAGCAAAAACCTCAGTGGTAAGCCCAAGAGAGGGGGAGACTACTGGGGGCTCACAAGGCACATCATACTCCTGCAGGTGTCAATGGGAAATAACGCTGCTCATCCTTGGTTTGGCCTGGAGACAACCTGCCACTTCATTCTGAATTCTGAGAAACCCAGGAATTAATACAAAATGTGCCATCTCTGTTGTACCCACAATCATCTCAACCTGGCTTATTTCAGTAAGGGAGCATATTTAACCCATTCCTTTTAGGGTCATGATTGGTATTCCTAGACTCAAGGCCCAATCAAGCCAGAAGAAATGGCTGGATTTACCTCTCCCTTCTGCTGCCAGTTCTAATTTTTCTGTCTGTTGTAACAGAGCGGGGAGGGGGGGGAGATTTATACCCAGGAGCCTGGATCCTTGCCTTAAAGCTGCCCAAATATGCATAACACAGGCTGCCTTAGCCTCTGCTCTCTGGGGAACAAGCAGCCTTTCAGCCCTTTTTCCTCTCCACATCTGACTGAGCAAAGGGAAAGCCTACCCACATCTTCCCTCCGGGCCAGCACAGGATGGACTGTGTGTGTCTGTGTGTGTGAGTGCAATGCTTCCACCAGAGAGATAATAAACTCCGTTACTAAACTCCGAAAGAGACTGGTTGGTGACTTCGTGATAATGGAAGAGCTGCAAAAGAGATACAAGGTAGAGACAAAGGCTATGCAATTACTACACCCTCTAAATTGCTTTGTTAATCCAGTCATCCCTGAGCCCGGCCACTGTGTGTGTGAGAAGGGAAAGTCTCATGTCCACCCAAGCTAGTGTCCTTCTTTGTGTGTAGAGATGAGAGTTCTGGTGGGTTTCAGATCCACACCTGAAGCCAGCCTCTTTCTGCTGTGTAGTTCACCTTCCACAGGATAGGAATGGATCCTAGCAGTGATTTCCCCCCCTCAAACCTAGGGGGCAACATATATTGAATGAGGTCACTTCCCTCAGGAAGGGGACTAGTGAGGCATGGCTGTTATCCTCATGCTCTGTGAGGCTATGGGGTACGTCACCATGGGCGTAGTGGCGTGGCTCATGGTTATGCCCCCCAGTGGTTGTGCCATTGACACGGCCACAGGTGCCACTGACACGGCCACGGGTGCCATGGAGACTGGTGGGGCCATCCCCTGGGCAATGGTCTGAGCCAGAGCTGCCGACAAGGGGGTGATCTCGGGGTTCATAGGGGGCGCTGCGTTGCTGGGCGGTGCTGCCTGCGCACCAGCTGGAGCCACCAAATCCTGTTGCGTAACAGGCCGTGGCTGCAGAGCTTGGCTGCTCAGGGTGGTGTGGGTCTGGGCAATGCTGTGATTGTAGTTGGTGACTGTGCCAACCGTGGGCGCCAGAGTCTGTTCCGTGGGCGTGGCTGTGGAACTGAGCGTCATCACCTTGGCCTGGTTGCGGAACTGGGCATTCTGCTCCAAGAGGACTTCATTGGTGGCCAGGAGGTTGTTGACCTGCTTCTTGAGGTCTTCTACACGTTTGCGGAGCATGATGTTCTCCTCTTCCAGGAGCCGGTATTCCACCGTGCGCGGACTGGTAAAGTTGTACTCGTAAGTCTCAAAGTGGAGCCCGTCCACCCTCCGCCTCTTGAGCACAGGATCGTGATCATCATAGCATCGGTCAGAATCGTACATGGGGTCGTAAGGGTCGTATCGCCGCACAGGCGTGGTGATGCCCTGCTCCCGAGTAGTCAGCCCCCGGGCATCGTACTCAAAATCCCGCTGCAGATGCTGGAATTTGCATTTGGCTCCACGCTGGCAATCCCCCTTCAGGAAATCCCTGCAGATGGGCACTTCCTCCTTGCTGTTGGGAAGATCGGCCGGGGAAAGGCCCAGCCCGGCCGCCACTTTCTGGCGGAGGCGTGGGGGCAGCTCTCCGGTCTTCTTATAGCAGTCCTCGTCTTCCTTGGTGCCGTGAATGAAGCGGCAGTTGATGCGGACGCATTCTTTGTTCTGAAAGTCGTGGCAGAAGATGAACTCGTTCTTGCTAACTCCCAGGTTGGTCACCTCGTTGATGTCGGGGTGGCGGAAACGGCAGCGCTTGCCCCGCTTGCAGACGTTGCGCAAAAAATCTCGGCAGATGTCATCAGAGTTGGCGCTTGCCTCATCGCTGCCGCTACCGTTGTAGGTATTGTCGCGGTCCGGCATTCTTTCCGTGACCCCGTGGGGCTGGCAGCCAGGATCAGGCGGCTTCATGGGGAAGGGAGAGGAGAGAGAAGAGATCAAGTAAGACGCAGAGAAGGGAAATGTTCAAGAAGCATTTAAGTATCACAGTCCCATGAATTTGCTGGGGAAAGTGGCTGGAATGGTCCTCACTTGGAAAGAAGGGCTTCAGTACATCTGCCCACTTTCATTCCCCCCATATTTTCTCCCAGTTCTGCCTTCTGAGGTGGTGTGCCCAGCACTGAATACTGTATTCAAGGTGGATATGTATATTGGGGCATTTTTTATTTTAAAAGTTCTCTAGTTTTCATTTATCCTGATGATTGTAGAAGTCCCCTCTATCAAATGTTCACACAAATCTGTTTCTTACTGAGGGCTTCCTTCAACTGTATACTTCTAAAATCACATATGTATAAGACTGCTTAAGAATATAGATGGTGGCCATGATCAGTGTTCCCTCTAAGCTGAGTTAGTGTGAGCTAGCTCACAGTTCTTTAGCCTCCGTCTCACACAGTTTTGACTTCGCTCAGGACGGATGGCTCCAGAGCAAACTAATTTAAGCAGTAGCCAAATCACTCGCTCACAACTTTAATGCCAGCAGCTCACAAAGTAGAATTTTTGCTCACAAGACTCCACAGCTTAGAGGGAACATTGGCCATGATGTACAACCTGCAAGCTAGGTGATTTAAATAAAGTATTGTAATGCTTAATCAAGAAAATATTACTGCAGAAAAATAAAATACCAGTCTAACCTATAGGATACTGTTAAAAGCCTTTGGAGTCCCTCATGAGCCTTCAGCATACTGAAGTTTCTCAAACACTCATCCTTAATGTAACATTCTAGCAGATCTCGTTAGAAATATCCCTGTTGCAGAGAAAAGGAAGTAAATCTAGGGACAGTACTAAGGGCTTGCCTTAGATCTTGACGGTTCTGGCAGTTGAGAATAAGTTACTTGCGCAATAGGGATATTCTACTGGACCCTTCTGACTTGCAACAAAATAGAATCCATCCTAAATTTCAGATAGGGATTTTCAAAAGCTAACGTCTATTAGGGACAGCCTGGAAAAGATCTGACAGCTTTGCGAAACACATTAACCGGCATATCCAAGACCCCTCTATATGAATTATTTAGTATTTAAGTCACTTTAGCCACCCTGCCATACCCATAAACAGATTTCCTGATAACGGTGATTCCTCAAGTGGGGACAAAGAGGTGGCAATAGGGGAACTGATAGGAAGACTGTGATGATGTGCGTATGCATCTGCATAATTTTGTCAGGTTAGACACTACAATGCAGCTATCACCTACAGCTCTGCATCTGTCCCTCTAAAAGGATTTTAGTTTAAGGCTCAAGCCAAGGCGGATATCAACCTGTGAACTACCTCTATCGAACTTCTTAAAGGGCATACATTTAAATCATTCTTGACACCAGAAATTACATTTAGCTAGTGATGAGCTGAGCATCTTCCATCCTCAGACTGACCAACCCAAGATAATCCTCACATCTGAGCCAAACCACACCCCACATCTGTATGAAACACCCCCCCACCCCCCAGTAACTTCTTCACACTGGACCTTGTTGTTGGATTGGGGAAAGAAAGCATTATCCAGCACTTCACCTCTCCTCCTCTTGAAGCCAGTTTCTGTTTTTCATTTCATACTCAAGATGTGATAAAGAGATAAAGTCCACACCGTGAAGGCCCGTCAAGTCTGAAGGATGAGCAGGGATGAAGAGTCCCCCACCCCCTGCACACACCACCCCTTTACCACCTTATCATCCATCACACTGGCTGCCTTCATAGGCAAAATGCCCAGGCTTGCTGCTCCAAACTTGACTTCTGTTCCCCTGCCCCAACTGAACAAGGCCCCTGGGCAGGGATGGTTACTTTCTTCCAACTGAGAAGCCGCATGAGAGGAGGAGGCAAAGTTCTTCCCAAACCTGTCAGTGTGGGGGAGGGAGGAAATCTTCAAGCTGCTTCAAGAGGGCAGAGGAAAAACATTTTCCTCCTCTCATGGTACACTCACCAGTACTGGCTGAAACTCACAACATAAGGGTTAGCAGACAGATTTTTACCCCACTGCAACGCTGCGTCCACAGTTTACTTTTCTCCTTGATAGGAAAGAGCAGCAGCCACTCACTTATATGGGGACAAAGTAAGGGCATGCGTTCAGAAATGCCATTAGGGTAGGGGCTACCTTTGGTCCTGGTGATTATAGAGCAGTGACAGCTCCTGAGAACTGAGCTAGCCTTGCTCTTCATGGCCCCTGCCATGGATTCTGTTTTCTTAGTTCTCACTGAAAACGTGTGTCTGAGCTATCCCTCTTTGGACTGCAGATGTGGGCTGGGGGGGAGGGGGAGGAATCCTTCCACATAGCAGACTAGTATGCCAGAGAAGACATTAGGATGAAGTCCTTCTCCCTGAAACTTCCATGCACAGACGGTTTTCCCCCCCATGGCGGAACATTTCATCACGTGACACCACAAATACAGACACAGTACTGTCACTTCAGTGAAAATGAGGAAAGGCTGTGGCTCAATGGAAGAGCTTCTGCTTGGCATGCAGAAGGTTCCAGGTTCAATCCCGAGCACCTCCAGTTGAAAGGACCAGGCATTAGATGATGTGAAAGACCTCCACCTGAGCCCTTTGGTGGCCAAAGTATTTGAGCTTCAGTTTCATTATCTGGCCTTCCAGGGAACAGTCAGGGTTGATTTCTTTGAGGATTGACTGATTTGTTCTTCTTGCAGTCCAAGGGACTCTCAAGAGTCTCCTCCAGCACCATAGTTCAAAAGAATCTATTCTTCGGCGCTCGGCCTTCCTTATAGTCCAGCTCTCGCAGCCATACATGACTACTGGGAATACCATTGCTTTGACCATGCGGACTTTTGTTGGCAGGGTGATGTCTCTACTTTTTATCATGCTGTTTAGGTTCGCCATCGCTTTCCTCCCAAGGAGCAGGCGTCTTTTAATTTCATGGCTGCAGTCACAGTCTGCGGTGATCTGGGATCCCAGGAACGTGAAGTCTGTCACTACTTCCACAGCTTCCCCTTCTATTTGCCAAGGAGTGATGGGGCCGGATGCCATGATCTTAGTTTTTTTGATGTTGAGCTTCAAGCCCACTTTTGCGCTCTCCTCTTTTACTCTGAGCAAGAGGTTCTTTAGATCCTCTTCACTTTCAGCCATTAGAGTGGTATCATCTGCATATCTGAGGTTGTTGATCTTTTCCCCAGCAATCTTAATTCCCGCTTGTGATTCATCCAGGCCAGCATTTCGCATGATGTACTCTGCATATATATTAAATAAGCAAGGTGACAGTATACATCCTTGTCGTACTCCTTTTCCTATGCTGAACCAATCAGTTGTTCCGTATCCGGTTCTAACTGTCGCTTCTTGGCCCTTATACAGGTTTCTCAAGAGACATGTGAGGTGGTCTGGTACTCCCATCTCTTTAAGGACCTGCCATAGTTTGTTGTGATCCACACAGTCAAAGGCTTTAGCATAGTCAATGAAGCAGAAGTAGATATTTTTCTGGTACTCTCTTGCTTTCTCCATAATCCAGCGAATGTTGGCAATATGATCTCTCGTTCCTCATATTACTACACTAGACTGCAGTGTAAAAGAGCAAGAGTCCCAGTAGCACCTTAAAGACTAACAAAATATGTGGCAGGGTATGAGATTTCATGAGTCACTGCTCACTTCTTCAGAACAGTGAGTGAGTGCAGTGTGATGCTACAGTGCAATGAATTGTTATGAACTGACGAATCTGTCTCTCACACATACACAGAGAACTTGGATAGATCTCAAATTTAAGACTGTGACAATTCTTCATCTTCATCAATGCACTATATTTCCATTTACAGCTAAGTACTACTGAGCATGGAAGCACTGATGATCAGCTGAAGAGCTGAAACAGTCAGGTTCCTTTGTATTCTGAAATCAAGAAGATTTTATACCTATGTTGAAGCACAGACAGAGTCAACACTGACAGCAGTTTGTAACATGGCATCTTTATTTATGAAGTAGTACTTTGAAAACCCTAATCCAACTGAAGGTTTGGGTTTTTACAGTATTTCACAAGTTAAAAACATGTGAAATAAAACTCCTAAAGAAGTCTCCTATACTTTCTGTATAGAAAAAAATATGGCTGAAAATTGAAACTTGGATTTGCAGGATTTGTGGTAGTAGAAAAGTATTAAATCTGCAAATTCTACACCCACAGATTCAACCTATACTGAACCCTCACACGATGAGAGTATTCTGGGAGTAAGCTCTGGTGGTACAAACTGAGCAGGGAGAGGGCACACAAAACTCTCCTACACAACACACACTTTTTGTGGCAAGTGCTTCCCTCACTAGAAGCTTCAGGAACTTCCCAAGCAGGCAGTCATTTCCAAATAACAACAGTAAAGTTCCTGAAGACCAAAAATATTTTAACAACTGACACCAACAGATCCTTCAAAAGAAGAAGCAATAGCACCCAAAGTTCGACTTTACCTTTATGAAGCAGCGTTTTCAAATACATGCCAAGGTGGGTTACTGCGAGGTTTCAGCCTTGAATTGTCCCAAGTGCTACAGAAAGAAAGAAAGAGCAATACATGAAATCGCCCCCAGGTGTACACAATCTCAAGAGACCAGGACATTTTCCCTCACTACTACTTTCAAGAGGAAACTGAATTTTTTTTCCTGTTTTGGGGTAATCCTTTCCTGCACTGCAAGAACTTCTGGAACACACTGTAGGACATTCTCCATTTATGTGAGGCATGCTGTGAATTATTCCACCCAAATGAAAATGTATACAACAAACTCAGTAGAAGACATGGCCATCAAAGGAGCTCATTCACCAGTAACAACTTCCTTGAAATATCCCACTAATCTGCAAAACTCCTTGACTCCTAGGAACACAGCGTGTAAACTACCAGTTTACTGAATCACTAAAGAATGGCAGCAAACTTTACTACTTAGTTGAATAACCCCTAGATGTAAACAATCTCAAGAGATCAGGACATTTTCCATCACTATATCTACTTTCAAGAGGAAACTGAATTTTTTTTTTCTGTTTTGGGGTAATCCTTTTCTGCACTGCAAGGATTTCTGGAACACACTGTAGGACATTCTCCATTTATGTGAGGCATGCTGTGAATTATTCCACCCAAACTGAAAATGTATACAACAAACTCAGTAGAAGACATGGCCATCAAAGGAGCTCATTCACCAGTAACAACTTCCTTGAAATATCCCACTAATCTGCAAAACTCCTTGACTCCTAGGAACACAGCGTGTAAACTACCAGTTTACTGAATCACTAAAGAAAGGCAGCAAACTTTACTACTTAGTTTAATGTGTTTTCAAATGAAGTTAGTCTCTGTGATGACATATCTTCACACACTAAGCAAAAGGTGATTTATCCTTCTTTAAAATACCTTCTGCACAGAACCAGCATCACATCTTCCAGATCTTGTAATGACTTACGACTTGTATGTTCCTATAAACTTCACAAATTGGTTGCCTTACGTCTCTATTTTGCAGTACAACAAACTGTTGATTTACCTAAGCCTACATAAATTGGCTCTTCGGCTTTGAAACGGAGGTGAGCACCGCAACTGGCTTTCGAGCAGGGGGCACTTTACCTTTTACCTTTACGTAAATAATGGTTACACACATTCTCCTTCAAGCCGTAAAAAGTTCTGGGGGACAGCTCCTTTTGGAGGAGAAAGCACTGGGAGTCTTATGGCAGTTTTGTAACATTTGCTTTATTTACAGGAACAGAGCACAGGTGGAAGCAAAGAGGCACTCCTACAGGACTGCACATTCACTGTTCCACAACAGATCCCCCGAGAAAGAAGTTTACACTCACACTCAAGATGTTTCATTCAACTGTCTGACTCCCAACATAAACCCGTCACTCCTTTCTCTTACTCTCTGCCATCTACTTGCGGCTACGATGGGGACAAGCAGAGCCTTTGGGAAACCACTTCTCAGCAATTATCCACCCACTGAGAAAATACCCATATTTAGGGAATGGTAACGCGTACACACTTATTATGGGTTTGGTTATACACAAAATCACAATAACTGATGGTATTGTTTTGCTTCAGTGCACTTTATAGTTTTATTTCACGTTTTTACATGAATCGTAACTATTGCTCCCCCCCCACCAGTACTCTTTTAAATCAGAAGAGTTCTCTCACACACACTGCGAAAACTAAATGCACAAATAGCTTCTCCGGGATCACTGGGAAGGCTGCATCCCACTAGGGCAGGTGACAACGCGATTTACCCCAGGAGTAACAGGTCTCTGAGCACCTCTGTTCGCTCTTTATTACTCATCTGCTGCTCCGTCCTTCACCGAACTATTCCAGCCCGATCTGAATTCTACAGTCTCAGACCCGAAACCCGCCAGCCAACACGGAGACACTTTTCAAGGGGGAAAGGCCATGGGAGAAGAAGCAGGGAGCCCACCAGCAGCAGCCCGGGAGCTCGATCTGTGCGAGGCCCAGGACGGCGACATGCCAAGGAGGGGCCTGAACGCCTCTAGGGGGCGGGGACGCCAACAGCCCGGGAGCTCTTTCACGCCCGGGGAAACGTGGGAATGCGGAAACCCCGAGACGGAAGAAGCAGCAGCCCAGAGTGGGTTACCAGCCCCCACCGCTTCTCACTCACCCTCACTCCGTCCTCCTCGGCTCCTAACAAAGCGCAACCCCTTCCGGCGTGACTTCCTCCCTCTCCCAGTTCCACCGGAAGCACTCTATGCTCCTTCCGCCACCGGCAGGGCTGAAAGGGGCCGGCGCCGTGGTTGCCGTGGCAACGCGACACCGTTTCGCCCTCCGCCATGTTCGCCCATAAACAAGCAGCAGAGACCGGCGAGAATGGAAGATTATTTCTCTTCGGCGTTGCAAGGCGTCATTAAGGGTCTTCTATCGAAGAGGGGGCCTTTGCATGCTGAAATCCTTTCTCGTAGTCGTAAAAAGGGGTTCTTGATTCACACCGTTTGTTACCCTTTTCCTAGTGTATTCCCAGGGCGGACGCGGCAAATTATGGGCAAGTCTGGGTCAAATAGGGGTGCCAGCCTTCCAGGCAAGTAAAAGTAAAGGTTTCCCTTGCTTGAAAGTTAGTCGAATCTGACTCTAAGGGGCGGTGCTCATCTGTTTCCAAGCCGAAGACCCAGCGCTGTCCGAAGACATTTCCGTGGTCATGTGGTTGGCATGACTAAACGCCGAGGTGCACAGCACGCTGTTACCTTCCCACTGAAGTGGTACCTATTTATCTACTTGCAACTTTTTTGCTTTCGAACTGCTAGTTTGGCAGAACTTCCAGGTACACACACACACATATGAAATAAATATTTTAAAATACCCCCAAAAAGGTGCTGTCAAGTCACCAACTTATGGAAATCCCATAAGGTTTTCAAGGCAGCAGATGAACAAAGGTGGTTTGCTATTGCCTGGTTCTGCACTGCAACCCTGGACTCCCTTGGTGGTGTCCCATCCAAGCAGCTTCTAAGATCTGACAAGATCGGGCTAGCCTTAGCCATCCAGGTCAGTGCTTGCTCTTGCTCAGCAAAATTGGTCAATGGTAACACCAAAAATACCAATACCACTAAAATGTGTTTTCATACTGATAACTTATGACTACTTCCAGGCAAGTAAAGGTAAAGGTTTCCCTTGCTCGAAAGCTAGTCGAATCCGACTCTAGGGGGCAGTGCTCATCTGTTTCCAAGCCAAAGACCCAGCGCTGTCCGAAGACATTTCCGTGGTCATGTGGTTGGCATGACTAAACGCCGAGGTGCACAGCACGCTGTTACCTTCCCACTGAAGTGGTACCTATTTATCTACTTGCAACTTTTTTGCTTTCGAACTGCTAGTTTGGCAGGAGAACATCCAGGTACACACACACACATATGAAATAAATATTTTAAAATACCCCCCAAAAGGTGCTGTCAAGTCACCAACTTATGGAAATCCCATAAGGTTTTCAAGGCAGCAGATGAACAAAGGTGGTTTGCTATTGCCTGGTTCTGCACTGCAACCCTGGACTCCCTTGGTGGTGTCCCATCCAAGCAGCTTCTAAGATCTGACAAGATCGGGCTAGCCTTAGCCATCCAGGTCAGTGCTTGCTCTTGCTCAGCAAAATTGGTCAATGGTAACACCAAAAATACCAATACCACTAAAATGTGTTTTCATACTGATAACTTATGACTCTGATGAGGTGGCATAAGCCCCTTAAATACAAGCTTTCTAATTTTCAAATTTAGTGTAGTAATGGACAAACCTTTAAAAAATACTAGAACTCAGAGGCATCCTATGAAGTTGATGGGTAGTAAATTGACTAACAAAAGAAAGCACTTTTTCACAAAACTCATTAACATGTAGAAATCACTGCAACCAGGCCACCAGTTTAAATTACTATTAAATTACTATTGCTAGCTATAACTACAACAGCTAGGTTTAGAAGGGTAGAAGAAGAGATTGGATTTATACCCTGCCCTTTGCCACAGAGCGGCTTACAAACTCCTTTCCCTTCCCCTCCCCACAACAGACACCCTGTGAGGTAGGTGGGGCTGAGAGAGCTCTAACAGAAACTGCTCTTTTTCAAGGACAGCTCTGACAGAACTATGGCTTGCGCAAGGTCATCCAGCCAGGTGCAAGTGGAGGAGTGGGGAATCAAACCCAGTTCTCCCAGATTAGAGTCCGCGCACTTAACCACTTCACCAAACTGGGTATGCCTATAATTCCCAGCTGAGGAAACTAGGGAAAGGCTTCAGCCTCTGTTCGGCCACTGAGGAAAACAGTATAATAAATTAGATTAACCAACAGACTTATCCAGCAGGATTCTTATGCTAAGACCTTGCCATGGTAACCATAAAAGGGAGTCACTAGGCAAGCGCAGTGGATATGAAGCCAGCCTTTGTATGGCTTCTACCTTTTATGCAGTCCCTATGTTCTACCACATTAGAACTGCCAGACACAGATATTGCTTATTGTGGTTCCAAAGCACAATTTTGTCCTGGATGAAAGCTGTTGAATATGGACAGCCTACAGATTCTGTTCACTTCTAGAACTTATTGTTAACAAAGTGAGAAAACCAGTGATGTAAGAAAACCAGCTACTGTTCCAACTCTTACAGTTCCAAGATAGCATTAACTTATCCTGCAAAATGCTTGGGTAACCATACTTATTTGGCAAAAAAAGTGTAGTCGTCGTCCCCCCCTGCAAAAAAACCAGCTAGATAACTTGGCAACACCCATCCCTTGGAAAATTAAAAGGTATCTGTGAGTTTAGAAACAGTAACCTCTACACATAGGCCAAATATAGGTGAGCAACACTTCAAGTCTGTAAAGGGCTATTGGCCCAACTGAAAGGAAGACTTTCATTCTAAAGGTTTTTGCAAAACAGGAACACCTCTCACTTTCAACACGGAGGAATGAATTCCCATCACCCTCATTCTTGTGCTTGGACATCAATGTAGTCACTATGGTAGCAAATGCTGAGAATCGCTATTTTAGTATGGCAACAGCTGATGATTAAATTCTCAAGTCACATTAAAGTCGACCAGAAGTCACATTTTGGTCTTATCAAAACCTTTTACTAAATATCCAACATTCAGTAGTGGAAAAAAAAAGATGACATACTGAATTCCCAAAATGGGTTTTATTATATACAGTCACTACATCAAGCCGCAAAGAAGAGAACCAGTCCAGAATAGTAAAGCTGAGGGCTGGCACCCATTACAGATCACAGCTCCTAGGCTTCAAGATGGAAGTTCCTGAAGATAAGCAAGGAGTCTTCTAACAGTAGCATCAAATAGCAGGCCTTGTCTGGAAGTCAGCTTCCCAAGCTCCACCATTCCATGCTCTGCTCTGCAGCTTCAGTAGCACTGCAGGAGATGTCTACTTGGACCTCTGCCTCATCTTTCTCCTTTTGCGCTTCAGCCTATAAGAGATAATGTTATTTAACTGTCAGTACTAAACATAACATTGTTCCTATGTGGCAGTTTGACTGGTGCTCTGGCCACTTTCAGGAAAAAGTGGGGGTGGCAGTATATTTTCAGCTACCCACCAGTCAATTCACCCCATCTACTTGCAGATTTCTCTGCAATCACAGCCTTCAAGCACAGAAACAGAGGCTCAGTCTTTGTATCTACATATGAACTGTAAGATATACAATACTGTAAAGCTTAAGCCAGAGCAGTAATTCCATGTTTAACTACATCCACCAGTAATAAGGAAAAAGCCAATAAAAATTACTTTCAAAGGGGCAGTTCAGGAGGCAACATGTGTCCTTCCTCCCCACATTTCTGCCCACCACCTTGCCTTCAAGCCTTTAATTTGTAAGTGGAAACGGTTACATACTGTTACAGACTTTTCTGGGGAAGGGAGCACATGAAGCAAAGAGTGAACAGCAGTTTATTCCTCACTAAAGTTGATGGGTAACTACTAGCGCTATTTGAAAAGTTACAATGGAACAAATCTTTTATCAGCATTTCAGTTTCTGCCTTGTCATTAACATCTAATGCAGTGATACCCACTCCACAGCTTGGAGAGCCAAATTGGCAATTACCCTCAACCAAAAGACCCACATTTACTTCCATCCCTAGCATGAGGCCTGCACTTTAGGGAGGCTTACAGCAGCGGCTGTTTCAAGGTGGAAACCAATTACCAACCACTTTCTTGAAACATAGGGCAGTTCCCACATTTTGTAGCAATGCTGAGAAGAACCACAGGTGGGCATATCGAAAAGCCACATGCGGCTCCTGGACCAGTGAGTGATCATCACGGATCTAATGTCTCAACTACAGATATTTCTTACATTCATCAACAATTGCGTGAAGTGCACTGCACAAGCACAGAATTCACAATAACCAATTTTGATGTTTTGGAAGCTATGACCCTTAGAGTGCACAAAGCATGAACCTGTAGGGAACAAGAGCAGATAGAAAGCACTAGGGACTGTGTCCAAAATTAAGAGTGAATCAGGACTAAAGAAGAAAACATTAAGTAAATGCTTTGGCTAAGATTACTGTTATCACACTCATGCCTGGGTGGTATTCATAAATTAGATGTGTGAGCATACTGTTTGTCCAATAGGACTATTCACTGGCATTCTTGTGCTTAGAATTTCTGAACTGCAGCTACAGTCTTGCATAACTATCCCTACTGTACAATGTTCCCTCATACAACTAGGATTCCATAAGCTCTTTACATTATTTTCTATCTTGGTCCTCTAACCTTGGATAGCACTGCAGGCTACAAGGTTTACTACTACATAATTTTAAGATAACCAGGCACATCGTTGTCCTACAGCAAAATTATTAACAGACTTCAGAAAGCTAGCCATTCTTCCCCACCCTACTGTTTTTTAGATATCACTGAAAGTGAAATAAACATGAATTCACATACCTGCGCATACGCTTCTTTCGCCACTAGGGAAAAGGGAAAGAAAGCTAAAGTCAGCATTTTTGCCAGCACCAAATCATGCGAATCCAATACCTACTGCGTTAACTGAAATTACTAGGCATAGTCTACCCAACGGCCCTGCTGGTTTTGCTGGACTTCCTCAGCATGCATTTCGCACTCCGTCTCCATCCAGTGTTTGCCCAGGACCCCCAAACAAGACCGCCATTTCAGAGCAATTACACAGACGTCCAAACTCAACATTTCAGGCCAGTTTCCCTCATCGCATTGCCTCCAGAACCCAAAATATTTGACGACACCTCCTCCCCATTATCTTAGTGCCCAACCTGGGCCTCTTGAAGGAGTTCTGCACCCCACCAGCACCTCTTTTTTGCAGATCCTCTATCCCGTCGTTATAGCTCCACAAGCACATCAAGGCCATTAGCCGAAAAGGCGGCCTGTCCGTGCAAGTAGGCCCAAGGGGCCCACATTTACAGCCCAACGCGATAACCCACCCAATTGTCCGCTCACCTTAGCTCTCATGTTGGGGTCGTTCCCCCCGGCTCAGTCCCCAAGAAGGGGGAGCAGAGCTGTAGTCAGATGGCCGCGGATGAACGACACCGCGCCAGACACCTTCCACTCAAGATGGCGGTGGCAGCAGCAACGGAAAGGTCTGCGAAGCCCGTCGCTTGGTATTTATAGGCTTCTTTGTGAGCGGGGAGTTATACGTCATAAAAGCGCTATTCGCATTGGATGATGGGACACGTAGTTTACGGATATGTTGGGACGCATGCTTTCTTTAATTATACGCGCTACCACCATGTTGAATGTTAAACGGGAGATGCGGAGCAGTGTTTGCCGCAACTGCTTGTCTAAAGTACAGGACGCTGCGACGACGTATAGCTAAAATCCCTCCTACAGGATAATTAACTGCATCGAATATTCGCTAGAGCTAGCCTCGGCACCAAAAGTTGTTTGTTTCAAAACTCAGTAGTGCAGTAAAAGGATTTCCTACACCGCTGCGTACAGCAGTTTACAGATTTGTAAATACAGATGTTTATATAGAATTATAGATTTAAACGCCCAACCTGGCAAATTCATTTTGGAGGAAGCTTTTTTAAAAACTTCAGCCCCTCTCTTTTGCATGCTGACCATTGGTCCTGATTTGTGCAGAATAACTGCAGGAGTGCGCGGAACATGGAAAAATAAAATAAGAAATACCTTGGGGATGATTCCATTATGATAAATTTATTTATTTTGTGCACGTGTGTGTATCCGTGGCTGGAAATCATGGCGACCTCTGGCTACTTCTACTGGGGCACGGAGGAGGTTCAGAGAAGTCAGTGGCTTGACAGCCCGCCTCTGCCCCCGGCCCTGGTATTCTTTGGCAATCTCCCATCCAAATACTTGCCAGGGTTGGCCCTGCTTAGTTTCCGAGATCTTACAAGATCGGGCGTGCCTGGGCTATCCGGGTCAGGGTGATACATTTACTTTCAAGTGCCAGGAATGATATATTCACATGCTGCAGCCCCAAAAAGCCAATTTGACAACTTTTTGTTGTTGTTGTTGTTCAGTCGCACAGTCGAGTCCGACTCTTCACGACCCCATGGACCAGCTCCCACCAGGTCCTCCTGTCTTCCGCCGTCCTCTGAAGTTTGCTCAATTTCATGTTCGTTGCATCGATGACACTAACCATCTCATCCTTTGCCGTCCCCGTCTTCTTTGACCTTCAGTCTTTCCCAGCATCAGGGTCTTCTCCAGTGAGTGCTCCCTTCTCATTTGGTGGCCAAATTTGACAACTTGAAAGTGCCTAAAGAAGACTTATGTTTTCAGCAGCTGGCTGAAAAGTGGGTATGGATTAACCTAGATTTGCATTACCCCTACTGTACCTGGTAGTATGTGCCCATCTGTATGGCACATTAGGCCGCAAGTGCAGCATAATCAAGGATTATCCACTGCATTGCCAATATCCCTAGAACATCCAGGGAAGAAAATAATTCAGTGCCAATTTGAGCATGTCCAATTGCTCAGTGTCTACACAGGCATCACCTAAATTTAAAACTAGATACAAAAACGGTCAACTGGATGGTATGTGAATTCCTATATTTGAAGAGGTCAAAGAAATCAAAGTCTACTTCTGTTGATAGTAATCTGGTCATTACACACTCTACAGGAACACAAATCCTCAATGTTTTCAATCATCAATTAACCAGGTGTCTTTATTCTTGTCTAGAGGGTTGAATTCTCTACTTTCTGAAAGAATCATGGGATTGATAGGGAAGAGTACTACAGGAAATCCCAAGGGGCTATATTTCCAATTTTATTTTGGGCTTCTAAAAACCTCCAGAACTTACACATATAAATTAATGCACCTCACAGTTCAAATCAACCCTAACTTCACGGAAACAAAGTCCATGAAATGCCACAGCCCATGCAATGAGAAAACTGTGGATCTCTATTTTCATTCAACACTGTGTTTGAATCTTCTAATGATAATCAAGTAACCACTTTCAATACAAGGAAGGGAAGCTTTGCTGGTACCTAAATCTAACTCCTGTGAGAGTCTTGAAAATCACAGTTCAAGAATACATGTCAAAATCAAAGGCTGGGAACTGTGCTTTTTGTGGGTTTTGAAGTTTCCACACATCATAAAACCCTCACATTTTAAGCCATCTGGAAACTTGAAAAGGAGGAAAAATTACTACAGCATTTTTTTTATAGAGTGAAAGAGGGACAATGTTCTACCTCCGAGGCCGACATCCTTTATCCACTGCATTGCTGTGAGGTGACTATCCAATCTGTATTTTCTCAATTGCATTGTATATTGCTAATCCACACAATAAAGGAGTTTGGGGGGTGGGGGTGGATTTAACACTCCTGTTGTCTTGCATGTGGGTCAAAATAAGGTGGATGGATAGACTTGCACAGAGCTTTTAGGGAACTGGCACATTTTAAAAGTTGCAGTGAACAAGTAGTTCAAGAGTTAGGCACACAAACATCTAAATACCCCACTCATAGCCAAAAATACATCATTAACGAGTGCATTAAAACCTAATTGAATAACTACGGCAGTTCTCTGATAAGGTCATTCTTATTAAGTGCAGCACGGGAGACTAGTATGGTGGAAAAGGAACAGGCTGTGTAATGGGGAAGCCCTAGCATTAGGGTCTAATTTTCTTCACAAGTTGGCTTCAAGTGTGTATTTGATACCTGAAATCAAGCAGTGACTAGTTGCCAGATGTTGAGTTTAACACATCCGCCTTGGGTCATCAACTTAAGACCAAACAGAGGTGCTATTGGTGGTGGTGGGGAGTTCTGATCTGAGTAATGTGTTATTCCCTGTTCTGAATGGGGTTCCACTCCCCCTAAAGGTACAGGTTCTTGGCTTGGGGGTGTTTCTGGACCCAGGCCTTCTGTTGGATAAACAAATGGCAGCAGTGGCCAGCAACGTTCCCTCTAAGCTGAGTTAGTGTGAGCTAGCTCACACTAACTCAGCTTAGAGGGAACACTGGTGGCCAGGTTTACCTTTCATCAGCTTCATCCCTTCCTGGGCAGAAAAGAACTTGCCACTTTGGTGTATGCCCTGGTAACATCTAGATAGATCACTGCACTGCACTCTATGTGGGGCTGACTTTGAAAACTGTCCAGAAGCATTGATTTGAATGGGTCACAGTGACCATATCACTCCAGTTTTGTTCCATCTACACTGGCTTCCACTTTGCTTCCAGGTTCAATGCAAGGTGTACTGTACAGCCTGGGACCAACATACCTTAAGGATTGCCTTCTCCCCATATGAACCTACTCACTCCGGTTATCCTGAGGCCCTTGCTTTGGTTACCCCAACCATCTGAGGCTACAGGGGTGGCAACCAATAAAGGGTCTTCACCATGGCACCAAAACTTTGGAACTCCCTCCCCAAGGAGATTCATCTGTCTCCCTCTATTGGTGTCTTTTGCCAGGTGAAGACTTCATTGTTTCATCTGGCATATCCCCAATACCAGTATTGGACCTCCTTCTAGTGCTGTGTTTAACAGAATTTTATCATTTTAACTATATTTAATTCAAATGTTTTAATGTTCACCACCTTGAGCACAAGGATTGAATGGAAAGGCAGTATAAAAATGTTTTAAATACAAATAGACCTCCAGGTGGGACTGGAGGTTTTCCTGGAATTACAGCTGTGGTTTCCCTAAAGGAAATGGCAAGTTCAGAAGGCAGACTATGGCATTTATCCCCAATGAGCTCCCTCCCTAATCTCCAGGAATTTCCCAAGCTGGAGTTGGCAACCCTACATCCACCTCTGATGTGCATTCCAAGGAAGGTGGGTGCAAATTCTTCTCACCTACTTGCTACAAAGGATAGGATTACCAACTGGTTATATGGTAACTTCTTTGTAGTCCCTTGCCAGATGCAGCTGTATCAATGGCAGCTGCTGGTTCAGTGTGGAGTAGGCAGAGGAAGGGTCCCATGGCTGCCGGGAACTTAGGACCTGCTCCTATGTATTGCAAAGCATAGGATCAGGGTGAAGACTCCTGTGCCCAATCCTATGACAAAATTCCAGTGAACATATACTTACATGTTCACTACAGTCTCTGTCAAAACTTGTAAGATAAGCAGTAATATTCCTCCCAAAATATAATCATCATCTCACAGTACCACATTCACATCAGAACGTAAGGAGCTGGTGCTCTTGGTTAGAAGAGAAACAGAGCAAGAAGCTTCTGAACAGAAGAGTCAAGAAATAATACTGCAGCAGGACAAATGAGAAATAAAGACAGACTCATAGTTTCTAAAAGATAGTAAAGAAATCTACAGTGTTTCAATACGTATTGGGCTCATCATCTCGAGGGACATTAATGAACAGGTATTTTCGATCAAAATTGGCATTAATTTCACAAAATTCCTCATCATGAAGGTGATACGAGGAACTGTCAAAGCAGAAAAGCAGCACTCTTGGAGACTTCCAGGTAGTTTTGGGCTCAGAACAAGGGAGATTTCAGTACTTAGGAACAGTCAGAATACTAAAACCCTTTGTAATCCTCAGTCACCATGACGTTACATCCATCAGAGGTACAGATTTCTTCATGCATACCATGCTTAGTGTAAAAATACGCTAAGACCTTCAGATCCCACTGCCCGCCCACCCTCAACACAGCAGACCCATTCATCTGTCCAGAGGTGTCACTAATCAATTTTATTTGGAAAAAATCAAATTACAGAACAGTTTGTGGGAATTTTGTTCCAAAATTTCCAACTGCCATTTTTTTTTAACCAAGAGATACAATTGCTTTAAAATTCCAAATAAAGATAGAAAATTAAATAAACCGCCCACAAGTCTTAGTGGTTTATAAACTGGTCAAGGTGGCTGAACTCAGCCTTTCCTTTATGGAAGGGCGATAAGAAAATGTATTACTTATAAATGCTAAAATGTTCCTTGTTAGGAACAAGGTATCCTTATCTCTCTCCCCCCACCCTCCCCCTTTCTCCCTTAAGTTCAAGGTTAACAATTGGGAGCTGTTTAAAACTAAACTGGCAGTTAATTGCAGGTCTTGTGCATGATCCTCCAAGTTCATCATTTTCAAGTGATTCAGCCTACCCAACACACTCCCCATTTTACCTCCCAGACTCAGCACTGAAAGCAACCCTTACAAAAGAGCAACAGAGATTAGAAATTAAAATAGAAAGTTTACAAAGAGTGATGGAAAAGTAGTTCAGAAAAAAAAGATTCTTTTTAATTTCTTTTAGTGGATTTAAACTTTGGTAGTAACTATAGTGTGTTTTTTTAAAAAATATTAAACTCCAGATATATTGGTCAAGAAGGATGTTGCCTGCCAGAGCACAAAAGTGCTCCGCCTCCATATAGGGCAGTTTTACAGGCATACCTCTTTCCATTCAGCTACAATAAGTGCCTATACAGGACCTGATTTGGAATAAGATAGAAAAAAACCCACACAATCATATACAATTCAGTTGGACAATTTAAAAAGACATACTATAGAAAAGAGATTCCCACAATGGAGTCTATTCCAGGTCCAACCACTTCTGTAGCATTTCATTCATTCATTCATTTAGAAAAGCTGTAGAAAGGGAATTCCTCTGAAAAATCCTGCTTTACACAATGTTAGGACAGCGACAGGTTTCAGTACTTGGAAAGCAAGTGCATGCAGGACCGGTGAAAGCAAAAGATCAGCTCCCTTGTGAGTTTGAGGAAGCCTCAACCAAGAGCTGGTAGGCTCCTGTAGGTATCAGTTTTATTGCCTTTGGGTCTTGGGAAGGGTTTTTGAAGGAAAGTAACACACTGTTTGCACTAGAATGATAATCAAAAGCCAGAAAGCCACACAAATGAATTTTTTTTAAATGAAAATGTCTGTAGACACAAAGTAACACTAACAGAAAAATGACCTTATAGCAATTTTGTGCCAGTGCTAAAGACAGAAATGAAAGTTAAAAACAAGAATGGGGGGGGGGGGGCTTTCCAAAGATTTCAGGGGGAAAGAAATGACTGAAGTTCAGAATAGAAAGGAGGTGTGCAAGTCTACTAACTGCCAGTAATACAATTCTAAACCCAAGATGGATTTTTACCAGTTTAAGCAGTTGTGGGGAAAAGTATCTAAAGATTTTTTTCAGATGACTCAAAATACCTGTAAAAAGAAAGAAAGAAAGAGAGAGGGGGGGAAAGGGGAGGAGAAAGAGCTACAGGAAAGTTCACTTTCTTTCTCAAAACTGCATTCGTTCACCTCTAATGAGCACAAGTAGTATCAAATGTTAGAAGATTGGATATAGACTAGTTTTTACTCCTGATTTTATTATTTCATACTTTTAAAAGTATTCTGAAGTGGCCAAGAGACTCCTCCCTCAGTGGCAAAGTCAGTCACTGCTGGTTGCATTCTGTGGGAAGTCCAGGCTGTTTGTCATTTGGTCCTATAAGACAAACAGCCATTAAGGGATATTTGTTTCTCTTGTTTTGGGTAAGGGCATATGAGAGAAAGAACCAGGTGCTAGGCAAAGGAAGTCAGAGTCATTCGCCAGTTTCATTCTCTTCTGCTGTTTCTCCTGTTGTGG